AACATAAGGACATGTCTGATGAGGATTGGGAAGAGCTAGATTTGGAAGCATGAGCGTCGATTATCCTATGTCGTGAAAGGGATGTGGCTTTCTTAGTGGATGGAGAGGAAACGGTTGTGGGCGTGTGGTTAAAGTTAGAGAGCACCTTCATGACGAAGAGTCTAATAAACCGGATTTATTTAAAATCCAAATTGTACACTTGTAAGATAGAGGAAGGCTCATCAATCCGGGAGTACATCAACAAGTTCGATAGGATCTTATCGGATTTGAAAGACATTGAGGTGACAGTGGAAGACGAGGATCAGACACTTCTACTACTTCTATCTCTGCCAAAGTCTTATGAGAATCTGGTTCAAACACTGATGCTTGTGGGTGACAGTTTATCGATGGATGAGACTAGAACGGCTCTTCTAGCGGATGATCTTCAAAAAATTGTAACTAGTGATATGGCCACTGGTGGTAATAAAGAGCAAGCGCAGGGGTTCTTCGCCAGAGGAAGGGGCAATGAGCGAGGAAAAGGCAATGGAGGAAAGTCTAGAGCAAAATCAAGACCTCTTGTGAAAAGACCGTGTTTCAAATGCGGTGAGCTAGGGCATTTTAAAGCTAATTGTCCTAACAAGAGAGTAGGTGGGAAGAAGAACAACAACAAGACTGAAAGACGAGAAGGTAAGGAAGAGGTGAGCTACGCGTCAGGGGAAGGGAGCGATAAGGAATGCTATGTCGTCACGGGTGGTGAGGATACCTCCGGGAAGTGGATTCTTGATTCTGGTTACTCTTATCACATGTGTCCAAATAGGAAGTGGTTTACTACCTACAGGAGCATTGATGGTGGAACCGTATTGATGGGAAACAACCATGTTTGTAAAACGGTGGGGCTAGGCGATATCAAGATCAAGATGTATGATGGAGTGGTTCGAACCATGACGGATGTAAGGCATGTTCCCGACTTGCGAAAGAATCTTATCTCAGTTGGTGCTTTGGACTCTGGGGGTTGTAAGATTATAACAGAAAATGGAGTGAAGAGGGTTGTTCGGGGCTCCTTAGTAGCGATGAAGGGCATTCGTCACGGCAACCTATATACTCTCTTGGGTATGACGGTGATAGGAGATACAGCGGTTAGAACTGATGGAAGTGGTGGAGACACATGTGAGCACACACGGTTATTGCATAGGCGGCTTGGGCACATGTCAGAGAAGGGTCTAGATCTGCTTGGTAAGGAGGGTTTGTTGAAAAATCTGAAGAAGCCTTGCATGGATTTTTGTGAGGACTGTGTGTATGGAAAGACGCACAGCGTTCAATTTATAAGAAGCAATCACAAGAGCAAAGGGATTCTAGATTATGTGCACACGGATGTTTGGGGTCCGGCTTCGACAACTTCTAAGGGTGGTTCCAGATATTTTGTTTCATTCATAGATGATCATTCGAGATATGCTTGAATTTATTTTCTGAAGCATAAAAATGAGGTATTTGAGACATTCAAGATGTGGAAGGTGATGGTTAAGTACAGGACAGGAAAGAAATTGAAGACATTAAGATCTGATAATGTTACAGAGTATACAGATGGTGCCTTCAAGGAGTTCTGTGATCAGGAGGGGATTGCCAGACACTGGACAGTTAGATCTACACCACAGCAAAATGGGGTCGTAGAGAGACTGAACCAAACACTACGGGAGAAAGCAGTGAGTATGCGATCTTATACTGGTTTGGGCAAAGAATGGTGGGCAGAGTCGATTGCTACAGCTTGATATATAGTGAATCGATCTCCACATTCGACATTAGACGGTGATATACCCTATCGGGTGTGGTCAGAGGAGAATGCATATTATGAGAGGCTCCGAATCTTCGGGTGTACCGCCTACTATCTCGTCAACGAGGGAAAGCTTGACACAAAGGCCAAGAAGGCAATTTTCTTGGGGTATGCAAAGGGTGTAAAAGGCTATCGCCTTTGGTGTACAGAAGATTCAAAGTTCGTAATCAGTAGTGACGTTACCTTTGATAAGAACTTCATGATTGCTAAGGTACCCAAGGATGATGGTGTTGAGACTGTTGGGAATTCTAAGTCCCAGGTTATTAATATAGAACCTAAAGACCAACAAGGTTCTAGTCATGTTCAAGTGGGAAATCAGGTATATAATGACCTTGAGCAGGAGGAGGTTTAGCAGGAGAACACACAGGCACTGCAACAGCAGAGCCAAGGCGAGCATACAAGCATGTATAGAAGCTGGGGGCTGATCAACACCTGAAGCACTATGTGCATGTTAATTTGGTTGAGTACGCACTCTCGGTGGAGGAAGATGAGCCGGTCTCCTTCAAGGAAGCTATTCGGGATAAAGATAGCGAGAGTTGGTTGGCTGTGATGGAGGAGGAGATGGATTCTCTCCGGAAGAACTAAACATAGGAGGTGGTCTCATTGCCCGCAGGAAAGAAAGTTATAGGTTGTAAGTGGCTGTATAAAAGAAAGAAAGATCCTTCAGAGCTCGCTGGTACGAGGTACAAGGCGAGGCTAGTGGCTAAGGGGTTCGCACAAAGAGAGGGTGTGGATTACAATGAGATATTTTCTCCGGCGGTGAAACACACTTCTATTCGGGTGCTATTGAGTATTGTTGCTCATGGTGATCTTGAGCTGGAACAACTCGATGTCAAAATGGCCTTCTTGCACGAAGACTTAGAGGAGGAGATCTATATGCATCAGCCAGAGGGTTACAAGGTTGAGGATAAGGAGAATATTGTATGTCGCTTAAGGAAATCACCTTATGGATTGAAGCAATCTCCTCGACAGTGGTACAAGCGATTTGACTCCTTCATGCTGAAGCATGAGTTTTCTCGAAGCGACTATGATTGTTGTGTTTACATTCGGAAGCTTCGTGGAGATGATTATATCTATCTTCTTTTGTATGTGGATGACATGCTTATTGCATCGAAGAACAAGGTAGAGATAGATAAGCTAAAATCTCAACTTAACAAAGAGTTCGAGATGAAGGACATGGGCGCTGCAAAGAAAATACTGGGTATGGAGATTAGAAGAGAGCGGGCGAATCGGTGATTGTTCTTGAGTCAGAAGGGCTACATAGAGCAGGTGATCGTGAGGTTCGGGATGCAAAGTGCAAAGTTGGTGGTGACCCCATTGGCTCCACACTTTAGGCTTTCAGGTAAATAATCTCCCTCTACAGCGGAAGATATGACACACATGGAGCGTGTACCTTATGCTAGTGCAGTTGGTAGTTTAATGTATGCCATGTTGTGTACACGTCCAAATATTTCACAGGCGGTTAGTGTGGTCAGCAGGTTCATGGCGAATCCGGAAAAGGCGCACTGGGAAGCGGTGAAATGGGTCCTGAGGTACTTGAAAGAAACCACGGATACGGGTTTGTGTTTTGGTGGAGATACATGTCAGATCGACGGGTATGTGGACTCAGATTATACGGGCGATCTAGATAGACGACGATGTACTACTGGTTATGTATTCAGGATACATGGAGCTCCAGTTAGTTGGCGATCGATGTTGCAGGCTACAGTGACACTTTCTACTACAGAGGCCGAGTACATAGCTATGACGGTGGGAGTGAAGGAAGTATTGTGGCTTTTGGGTCTTCTAGACGATTTTGGGATTGAATAGGAGAGCGTGAACTTGTGGTATGACAGTCAGAGTGCGACTCACTTAGCGAAAAATCAAGTTTATCATGCTCGTACCAAGCATATCGACGTCAGATATCATTTTGTGCGGGATATCATAGAGAAAGGTGATATTTCTCTCATGAAGGTGCACACAAATGAGAATCCCATAGACATGTTAATCAAGGTGGTGACAGGCAGCAAGTTTTAGCATTGTTTGAACTTGCTTCATATTAACCCGTGTTGATTTTCCCAAAAAGGCATGGCCTTGCGGGGCGGTGATGAAGGTGTGGTAGAGACTATGTTGGAGAATAATTACAGAACTACGATTAGCTTGATCCCGGCGGAGGGTACGTAGGTAGCCGGGGTATAGTAGCGCAGCTGGTTTGATCTAGATCTTTCTGGTGAAGTTCGTGGTGTTATTCTGGTGTTCGTCCAAAATTTGAGGTTTATCAAATGATGAACGAGGTGGAGAATTGTGAACGCGGGGGGCCCACCCACGTGGACGTCTGCCCACGAGCCACCTGCTTTCGTGCATGCGCACGGAAGGGCTCTTTCTTCGCGCGCGAGTTTTTCTTTCCCCGCCGCGAGAGCCCGCCTAAATTTCTGATTTGCCCCATGTTCTCTCCTATAAATAGAGAAGGGGTAGAGGAGTAGAGGGTGGGGAAAAATTGTGGGAAATTCTTGAGTGAGTGAGAAAATTGAGAGGAATAGTAAAGAGTGAGGAAGAGAGAGCTTGTAATAGTTTGGTATTCTCCTCATAGTGAAACCCCCCCCTCCCGTGGACGTAGGAAAGTTTGCCGAACCACGTAAATCTCGTGTCTGTATTGTTTTACTATGAGTTTGTCATTGCTTGTAGGTTCCCTCGACATTTCAGTCTTAGAACTGATGAGAGGAAAATTGTATATTTCACTTTGATGAAGTATTTCACTTTCGATTCTAGTTTCCTTTGAGAAACAAGAATTTCACTACTTATTCTAGTTTCCTTTGAGAAACAAGAATATAGAGGTTAACTTGTGCTTTTGTGACAACAAAAGTCAGGGCTATCTCTCAGGTGATATCGCTTCCGCGGCGTGAGGACGTGACTCTGCGCCCAACATGCATCGCTGCTTCTCTCCCAAACATAATTCACAAGAATATAGTTCTCGCATATCGTAAAGGAAAACAACTTGTGATATCCTTTAGATGATTGTTTGAACGGGTAAAATAACAAGAGAATCGAGAAATCTTCTAAAAGTTGTAATATCAAAAGTCCACATTCACAAAACTTCTAATGTCATGAACTAAATGTTCGGTTTTTTTTAAAACTCTTAATCTTCCACGTAAACACAAAACTAGTCTTATATTTGCTTTATATTTGTTTGCGAAAATGAAAAGAGAAACATCACCTGTCCAAGATACACTTGCATCAGTATCATAGCTGAGATTAGCAGTACATGGCACCAATATACTTTGAGCATAGTTTGTGGTATAGTAGTTGAGACCAAGAAAGTCGAAGGATCCTTTGACCATTTCTGACTCTTCTATAGTGAACTCCGGTAATCGATCTTGGACAAGCGCTTTCATGCTAAGCGGATAGTCCCCTTGAGTCAATGGGCCCATGAACCTATTAAAATCATGAATTTGACACACCATAACTCAATTATTACTTTTTCCCCCAAACAAGCTACCAAAGTTGCAACACAAAGTTGAATTCAATTTCAAATAAGGACCGATCTTGCAAATTTTCGCATTTCTTAGGACAACAATAATCTTCTTAGTAGACAGTCAGATACTTGAGGGTCCTCGCAAGAGTCTTCAATGTAACTAGAAAAAACATGCTGTTTATGGATAAGATTGCTGTTACAGTGTCGAAAAACTTACCATCCTAACATGAAATCGATTGCTCGACTGGCTGCATCGATATCTGAAATTGATTCGGAGTAGGGCAAGAACCAGTGACTAATAAGGGATAAACCCACCTTACCCTTCTGTGATGCCTGCATGATTAATTTGGAATACATTTGCCATGCAATTGTATTTAGTCTACAGAATTAAATCAAGTCTAAATCAATGCACGATCATCGACATCTTCTCTTTACCTGATACTTGTCTCTGTACAATTTGACAGCAGCAGCATGGGATAGCAACAAATTATGGGCTACAGTATAAGGTTCACGACCTGAATCTCCGTTAAAACAATTGCTCTCCATCCAAGGGGAGCACCGGCCGGGAGCATACAAGCCCGTTACATAACCCAGTCGGGCAAAAGTCCACGGCTCATTCACCACGATCCAATGCTTCACTCTGTCTCCGAACAGTGCAAAGCAGACATCGGCATAGTTCTTGAAATCATCCCTGAATTAATGTGATTTTGCAATTTTTCTAGAGGGCTTGTGTTTTATTTCTTGATTGATGTAAAAGTAAAGAGTAGACTTACAGGATTTTCGAGCTGAGAAATCCTCCATAGCGGTCTTCTAGTGCTTGAGGAACATCCCAGTGGAAAATTGTTGCATATGGTTCCACCCCTGCACTTTGATACGGGTGACATAGTTTGCGCAGGAATCACACATTGATTCTAGTAGTGAGACTTATTAAGGGTGAAGGGGGTACCACTGGATTTGAGCTCATCGATAAGGTTGTTGTAATATTGAACGCCTTCTCTGTTGATTCCTCCGCTGATCTCCCCATCTATGATAAAGCATAAAGAGTCAAGAATCGGTATGATTCTGTACCATTATTATCCTGATGGAGGCTATAGGAGTTGACCAACTTACTTGGTAAGATTCTAGTCCAAGAAATGGAGAATCTGTAAGCATCAACGCCCATTTCCTTCATGATTCTCACATCTCCCTGCAAAAATTACTCGACTCTTGTACATCAACATCTCGCATCGGATTCAGAAATCAAATTGCAGAAGGAGATAGATCCTATGATCAAGTAATTAAGTACCACCTTGAAACGATGATAAGAATCTACAGCAACATTCCCGTTGCTTCCATCCTTAATCTTATCTGCCCATCAATTAAAACAGTAAAAATCATGAGCTGCTATTTTCGCATTAACTCTAAAAACAGTATTCGGCAGAGAGAGAGAGAGAGGCCTGGATGATTCTGAGTGAATGCATCCCACATGCTCGGTCCTCTACCCCCTTCATCTGCGGCTCCCTCAATCTAAACAACAAGAAAACTCCTTCGCAAATATTCAGAAAGAATTACAAAATCTTTTTTAGAGGAGTTCCTCTAAAATTGAAAAGAGGATTACTTGATAAGCTGAAGTGGTGGTGCCGAAGACAAAACCGTCCGGGAAGCTGATTCTGCTGAATGATTCTGGTCGTAAACGCCAGAGTGCCGATCCCAACAGTGAGAGGCAGAGAAGAGGCAGAAGAAGCTGGCTACCTTGAATTCCCATTTCCTAGAATTGGAGGAATTATCTACAGGGTTTTCTCCACACTAACTTGGAGGCTTTGTAGGTGGCCTTGTCATTGGTCAGCTGGTACCTGCTATGGGAAAACAAAACTAGATATTTTGTTTGCGAACAGAGAATTTGCGGGGCAACATGCAAATGGGTTTAAGGGGAAAAGGAACTAACTGTTTCGGCCATGGTCAAAATATTTCCTCGAATTAACTGGGATCGACGAAGCAGTTAAAATCATTGCTCTAAGCAAGATAATCTTTCCCCCCCTTTATGTAAACATCCAAATCGTCCGGCTTCCTATACTTGGTTAATCGTATTCCTTTGGTGTAATTAATCTCAGGTATGATTGTAACTAATTAAGGAAATTTTAGCCCGTTTCTCTTATGACTTTCAGAGGTTTTACAGGGTAATTTTCCATGGCTTGCAGCACCTACTCCAAAGTACGACAGTAATATTAGGTCGGATTTCTTGTCAAGGCGGAGGATGATACTCGTGCCTTTCTGTCAAATAAATCAGGGGAAATGATCTATCAAGATGTCAAATTTTCTACCGGCGCCTCTTTCAATCTCGACAGCAAGATCTTTTTCAATGGGACCTTTTTACATATTGTAGTCGTACTCATGATAAAGTTTAGTTGAGTGAAGAAGGATACATATAAACTCAGAAAAAAAAGAAAAACACGCGAGATCTTTAAAGGCGTCATTACATCTCTGCGAGTCGTTATCACATCGTCTTTACTTCACTTTATGAACATTTCAGTTGGAGGCCTGTCGCAGTCACAATTTGTCTTTGCTCACTGCATGCAGACTTTATGTTTAGTTTACTGCTCTTCGTCTTTACTTTTGGGCCTGTTTGGTTGGTTTCCTAAAATCAAAGAAAATGAAATCGATACAAGAAAATCAATAAAATAATATTTTTATTCATTTCTATCCCTAAAACTCATCCATAACATCTAATAAAATATTATTTTTATCATCCAACTCATCTCATTTCATCTCATTTCTTATCTTTAAAAATAAACCAAACACAAGAAATGTGTCACATCATCCAACTCATCACATCTCATCTTATCTCATTTTTAAAAATCACACACATCATCCAATAATATTGTGACAACTCATCTCATCTCATTAAACCTTCCTTTCCATCCATTTCCTCAAAAAAAAACAAGAAATTGATTTCCTTAAGTATGTGTCACATCATCCAATAATATACCTCCAACTCATCTGATCTCATCTATTTTCTTATTTTTAAAAATGAACCAAACACAAACAACCTCAAAACATCATCCAATAATATACCTCCAATTCATTTCCTTATTTTTTTTAACCAACCAAACAACCTCAAAACAATTTTTTTTAAAAAATCACTCACATCATCCAATAATAAGGTGACAACTCATCTCATCTCATCTTCTATTCTATAATTTCTTTCTTTTTTAAACCAACCAAACAACCTCAAAACAATTATTATAGGAAATATGTTTCCTATTCTTTGATTTCCCATTTTATTTTGCGAAACGAACAACCCCTTATTCTAGATGTGGATGGCGGTTGTTGTGAGGGAGAGAAAAGGCAAAACAATAAGGAACATAATCAATTAGGTGCATGTTTCACTCGGATTAATACAGTAAGTGGACTATAAGCCAATGTGTAGACATTGCAGTGGCTTATTAGCCACAAAAGCGACTTATAAACTGGTTTTAATAGGCATATATCCAATCGTACACAAACTCCTAAAGGAGCTCCCAAAAATACGAACTACTAGGTCACTCAGCTATAATATAGCTTTTCAAATAAATTGTTGGATTTATTGGTCAAAACCGCTTTCTAAAATAAGTTTTCAAACTATTTATTTACTAACTATTGGTATTTTTTTTTTTTGAAAAGACAGGTAGGGTAACCTAACCAGTCAAGTACTCAACAACACTCTGTCTCAAAAACAAAGGGACAGAAACAGACAAACAAAAAGAGGACAAACAATCAACCGACTTATTTAGGGAATGAGCAACGCCATCACCAGTGCGCCTTACATAAGAAACTTTAGAGCAGCTAGTAATAGTCAGACCAGCGTGAATTTCATTTGCAATAGGAGCCAATGAAGCAAAAGAAGAATGAGTCTCCACAAAGGAGACAACCTTTAGAGAGTCAATTTCCACCATTGAAATCCTCCAGTTCATACACCGAACAAAGCGAATACCTTCCAGGACAGCCAACAGCGCTGCATGATCCACAGACATAAGACTCCTGATCCCCATAGGTAGCAACCAATCACATGTCCATGGTGATCCCGAATAACACCTCCTAAATCAATAATATCTCCTTCTAGAGGAACAACAACATCTGCGTTGAACTTCAGCAAACCAAGAGCAGGGGAATACCAAACAGAAGGCCATTTGGAAGGGGTGACAATGTCACGAGAGAGACCTCTAACTCTATCCCCTTCCTCCACAAAACGGAGAATCCGAGTCACCACGATCGAGACCTCTCTAACACCACCACCATGAGAGCACATATTCCTTTCCCCCCATATAAACCACGAGGTTGTGAAAGCCAAAGCCAGAGAGTCCCTAGGGCAAATAGAGGTGAGATGGAAAAGAAAATCACCTCAAGACGTGCATCAAAAACCATTAATCACTTTCCAAAGATCTAAGAACTCCTACACTAAACGAGCAAAGGAGCAGACGGTGAAGATATAAGGGCGGTCTCAAAGGCAGCAGAGCAAAGGCGGCAACTAGGGGGCACAGAGATCCCCTGCGGGATAAACCAACTAAGGTGGGGAGAGCATCATAGAACAGACACCAACGGAACACTCTAATCTTCGGTGAGATCTCCGCATGCCAGAGCAAGGACCACCACTTCGCTACCCTAAAATCCGAGGTGGAAGCAGTATCATGCATAGTGTGGTGAAGAAGTGGGTATCCACTCTTGACCGTGTAGCACCCCTTCTCCTCATAATACCAAATGAGTCTGTCAAGGATAGGAGAAGGTGGCGGTAGGATAAATGAAATGTCCTACGATCTACCTACCAAAAGGAGGTAGCAAATAGCTCATGATTCTAAGTATCCGAAGTAGAGATCAGCTCAGCCACCCTTCTGGAAGGGTCGATCGAAAAAGTGATTGTCCTAAAAGAAAAGGGCCTTGGGATCCATGGGTCAGCAATGATAGAGACACTCTGGCCATCATCTATCACTGTTAGAAAACAGCATTTCACCTACGGGCTAATAGCGACGGATATTTCCGTCGCTATAACTATAGTATTAGCGACGGAAATATATTAGCGACGGAAATATCCGTCGCTATTATTCCGTAGGTGAAACTATTTTACCGACGGATAACCACAATTTAGCGACGGATATTTGTCGTCACTAAATTCTTTAGCAACGGAATATTCAGCGACGGACAAATCCGTCGCTAATAACTTCTTTAGCGACGGATATTGCCGTCGCTAAAGTTTTCGATAGGGAAATTTTTTGGGCGCGGGCGCCCAAAAAATTTGGGCTGCCCGCGCCCGATAAAACTCTCTTCCCCCCCCCGGACAAATCCGTCGCTAATAACTTCTTTAGCGACGGATATTGCCGTCGCTAAAGTTTTCGATAGGGAAATTTTTTGGGCGCGGGCGCCCAAAAAATTTGGGCTGCCCGCGCCCGATAAAACTCTCTTCCCCCCCCCCAGACCCGATTTTCCCCCTTCTCTCCCAAATCCTCCCTCCCCCCCTCTCTTTTC